CATTTAGTTTATATGTGTATTCTTGCAGATTATATTTGTCTGTGTTCTTAGTTACAATGTTTCTCCTCCACTCACTTTTGTTCTTTGTGTGTCTTCCTGTCTGCCCTAATACTATCTCTCCCTCTCGCACCCTCTCTCACCCCTCACCCTCTCTCACCCCTCACCCTCTCTCACCCCTCACCCTGTCACTCACCCCTCACCCTGTCTCTCACCCCTCACCCTGTCACTCACCCCTCACCCTGTCTCTCACCCCTCACCCTGTCACTCACCCCTCACCCTGTCCCTTTTACTATCTATTCATTTTACATTTTACATTTTAGTCATTTAGCAGACACTCTTATCCAGAGCGACTTACATTTAGTGAGTGCATACATATTTTCATACTGGCCCCCCGTGGGAATCGAACCCACAACCCTGGCGTTACCAAGTCTCAATTTGGTGTTTGTCCCATTTTGTGAATTCTTGGTTGGTGAGCGGACCCCAGACCTCACAACCAGAAAGGGCAATGGGTTCTATAACTGATTCAAGTATTTTTAGCCATATCCTAATTGGTATGTCGAATTTTATGTTCCTTTTGATGGCATAGAAGGCCCTTCTTGCCTTGTCTCTCAGATCGGTCACAGCTTTGTGGAAGTTACCAGTGGTGCTGATGTTTAGGCCGAGGTATGTATAGTTTTTTGTGTGCTCTAGGGCAATGGTGTCTAGATGGAATTTGTATTTGTGGTCCTGGCAACTGGACCTTTTTTGGAACACCATTATTTTTGTCTTACTGAGATTTACTGTCAGGGCCCAGATCTGACAGAATCTGTGCAGAAGATCTACGTGCTGCTGTAGGCCCTCCTTGGTTGGTGACAGAAGCACCAGATCATCAGCAAACAGTAGACATTTGACTTCAGATTCTAGTAGGGTGAGGCCGGGTGCTGCAGACTGTTCTAGTGCCCTCGTCAATTCGTTGACATATATGTTGAAGAGGGTGGGGCTTAAGCTGCATCCCTGTCTCACCCCACGGCCTTGTGTGTTTTTTGCCAATTTTAACCGCACACTTGTTGTTTGTGTACATGGATTTTATAATTTTGTATGTTTTCCCCCCAACACCACTTTCCATCAATTTGTATAGCAGACCCTCATGCCAAATTGAGTCAAAAGCTTTTTTGAAATCAACAAAGCATGAGAAGACTTTGCCTTTGTTTTGGTTTGTTTGTTTGTCAATTAGGGTGTGCAGGATGAAAACGTGGTCTTTCGTACGGTAATTTGGTAAACAGCCAATTTGACATTTGCTCAGTACAGTGTTTTCACTGAGGAAATGTACGAGTCTGCTGTTAATGATAATGCAGAGGATTTTCCCAAGGTTGCTGTTGACGCATATCCCACAGTAGTTATTGGGATCAAATTTTTCTCCACTTTTGTGGATTGGGGTGATCAGTCCTTGGTTCCAAATATTGGGGAAGATGCCAGAGCTAAGGATGATGTTAAAGAGTTTAAGTATAGCCAATTGGAATTTGTGGTCTGTATATTTTATCATTTCATTGAGGATACCATCAACACCACAGGCCTTTTTGGGCTGGAGGGTTTTATTTTGTCCTGTAGTTCATTCAATGTAATTGGAGAATCCAGTGGGTTCTGGTAGTCTTTAATAGTTGATTCTAAGATTTGTAGTTGATCATGTATATGTTTTTCCAAAAAGATTAGAGAAGTGGTTTACCCATACATCTCCATTTTGGATAGATAACTCTTCGTGTTGTTGTTTGTTTAGTATTTTCCAATTTTCCCAGAAGTGGTTAGAGTCTATGGATTCTTCAATTACGTTGAGCTGATTTCTGACGTGCTGTTCCTTCTTTTTCCGTAGTGTATTTCTGTATTGTTTTAGTGATTCACCATAGTGAAGGCGTAGGCTCAGGTTTTCTGGGTCTCTGTGTTTTGGTAGGATAGGTTTCTCAATTTCCTTCTTAGGTTTTTGCATTCTTCATCAAACCATTTGTCATCGTTGTTAATTTTCTTTGGTTTTCTGTTTGACATTTTTAGATTTGATAGGGAAGCTGAGAGGTCCAATATACTGTTTATGTTTTCTACTGCCAAGTTTACACCTTCACTATTACAGTGAAACGTTTAGTCCAGGAAGTTGTCTAAAAGGGATTGAATTTGTTGTTGCCTAATTGTTTTTTGGTAGGTTTCCACACTACTTTCCTTCCATCTATAGCATATCTTAATATTATTCAGTTCCTTTGGCTTTGATGCCACATGATTGAGTATTGCTCTGTTCAAGTAGACTGTGATTTTGCTGTGATCTGATAGGGGTGTCAGTGGGCTGACTGTGAATGCTCTGAGAGACTCTGGGTTGAGGTCAGTGATAAAGTAGTCTACAGTACTACTGCCAAGAGATAAACTATAGGTGTACCTACCATAGAAGTCCCCTCAAAAGCCTACCATTGACTATGTACATACCCAGTGTGCGACAGAGCTGCAGGAGTTGTAACTTGTTTTTGTTGGTTGTCGTTGTTGTGCCTAGGGGGGCATATGGCAGAGGGAATGCTGTGACCTCCAGGTTTGTGTTTGTCCCCTTGGGTGCTGACGGTCTCAGGTTCTTGTCCAGGTCTGGTCTCTCTCTCTCTCTCTCTCTCTCTCTCTCTCTCTCTCTCTCTCTCTCTCTCTCTCTGTCTCTGTCTCTGTCTCTGTCTCTGTCTCTGTGTCTCTGTCTCTGTCTCTGTCTCTCTCTCTCTCACGTCTGTGCCTGTGTATTTGTTGTGTCTGTGTGAGACTGAAATTTAGGAGTAGCCAATTTTGAATTGTAGATTAAAGTAGTGAATTTCAAAATAGTTTTTGTCTAAATAGCTGCTCAAGGTCACAAAAATGCCTCTGTCTCTTCTCTAAGGCCTTACATGATGTCCATCTCTGGGACAGATATTTAACTTCTTATCGACTCAATGCTAACTGCCGCTTTTATCTCACTGTTGATCTCCCAGCACCATATAAATATCACACTGTATGATACAGTAGGATCTTAATTTGAGCCAGTTTGGTACAGCAGGAAAATAATCATGCAGCAACAGGAAATGTGAATTATTATGTGGGTTATAATTAATGGACATTTTTGTAGGGGTTGATACATTTTTTTGAAATTTCAAAGTGGAAATTCCAAACTTCAGAAGCCTTTTTAAACGTTAAAAACAAGTTTGGGGTCACTTAGAAATGTCCTTGTTTTCAAAAGAAAAGCAATTTTTTTGTCCATTAAAATTAAATTAAATAGATCAGAAATACAGTGTAGACATTGTTAATGTTGTAAATGGCTATTGTAGCTGGAAACGGCTGATTTTTAATGGAATATCTACATAGGCGTACAGAGGCCCATTATCAGCAACCATCAGTCCAGAGTTCCAATGGCACGTTGTGTTTGCTAATCCAAGTTTATCATTTTAAAAGGCTAATTGATCATTAGAAAACCCTTTTGAAATTATGTTGCAATTGTGGGTTCGATTAAAGGCTCAAAATGGCCAGAAACAAAGAGCTTTCTTCTGAAACTCGTCAGTCTATTCTTTTTCTGAGAAATGAAGACTATTCCATGCGAGAAATTGCCAAGAAACTGAAGATCTCGTACAACGCTGTGTACTACTCCCTTCACAGAACAGCGCAAACTGGATCTAACCAGAATAGAAAGAGGAGTGGGAGGCCCCGGTGCACAACTGAGCAAGAGGACAAATACATTAGAGTGTCTAGTTTGAGAAACAAACGCCTCACAGGTCCTCAACTGGCAGCTTCATTAAATAGTACCCGCAAAACACCAGTCTCAACATCAACAGTGAAGAGGCGACTCCGGGATGTTGACCTTCTAGGCAGAGTTGCAAAGAAAAAGCCATATCTCAGACTGGCCAATAAAAAGAAAATATTAAGATGGGCAAAAGAACACAGACACTGGACAGAGGAAGATTGGAAAAAAAGTGTTATGGACAGACGAATCGAAGTTTGAGGTGTTCGGATCACAAAGAAGAACATTTGTGAGACGCAGACCAAATGAAAAGATGCTGGAGGAGTTCTTGATGCTATCTGTCAAGCATGGTGGAGGCAATGTGATGGTCTGGGGGTGCTTTGGTGGTGGTAAAGTGGGAGATTTGTACAGGGTAAAAGGGATCTTGAAGAAGGAAGGCTATCCCTCCATTTTGCAACGCCATGCCATACCCTGTGGACGGCGCTTGATTGGAGCCAATATTCCTCCCACAACAGGACAATGACCCAAAGCACAGTTCCAAACTATGCAATAACTATTTAGAGAAGAAGCAGTCAGCTGGTATTCTGTCTATAATGGAGTGGCCGCATAGTCACCGGATCTCAACCCTATTGAGCAGCTTGACTGTATGGTACGTAAGAAGTGCCCATCAAGCCAATCCAACTTGTGGGAGGTGCTTCAGGAAGCATGGGGTGAAATCTCTTCAGATTACCTCAACAAATTGACAACTAGAATGCCAAAGGTCTGCAAGGCTGTAATTGCTGCAAATGGAGGATTCTTTGACGAAAGCAAAGTTTGAAGGACACAATTATTATTTCAATTAAAAATCATTATTTCTAACCTTGTCAATGATTACATTTCCTATTCATTTTGCTATATTTCCTATTCAAACTCATTTCATGTATGTTTTCATAAAAAAATAATAATAAAAAAAGGACATTTCTAAGTGACCCCAAACTTTTGAATGGTAGTGTATATCTGGGCTGTTAGATAGATCTGTTTGTTGGTCATCAAATCCATTGATATATTGACCAGTCGTAAGAACATCTATTAACTTTTGCCCACATACAGTGTATATACAAGTGCTTCTTCCGTTACACAACTATGTGTGTGTGTGTGTGTGGGTGTGTGTGTGTGTGTGTGTGTGTGTGTGTGTGTGTACGTGTGCCTGTGTGTGTGTACGTGTGCCTGTGTGTGTGTACGTGTGCCTGTGTGTGTGCATTCATTCGTGCTTGCATTTGTGTATGCGCTCATATTTTTCACTGTAAGTCTAGGCTAGGCCATGGCACTCACCTACACACACCTACAGACACACACAGCCCCAGCCCCCTCCCTACAGACACACACAGCCCCAGCCCCCTCCCTACAGACACACACAGCCCCAGCCCCCTCCCTACAGACACACACAGCCCCAGCCCCAGCCCCCTCCCTACAGACACACACAGCCCCAGCCCCAGCCCCAGCCCCCCTCCCTACAGACACACACAGCCCCAGCCCCAGCCCCCTCCCTACAGACACACACAGCCCCAGCCCCCCTCCCTACAGACACACACAGCCCCAGCCCCAGCCCCCTCCCTACAGACACACACAGCCCCAGCCCCAGCCCCAGCCCCCCTCCCTACAGACACACACAGCCCCAGCCCAGCCCCAGCCCCCTCCCTACAGACACACACAGCCCCCTCTCCCAGTGAAAGTGAGACCCCATGTTGTCCTGTGACGGAGGAAAACAATGACACTATGAGACATGGGTGGCTCTGCTCTGCTCTAAGTACGGTCCACAGGCTGACAGGCGTTGTCTGGCTCTGGGTTTAATATTTAACATATGCCACATTCTTACACTCTATCCATAATTCAGAAAGATACATGTTTCACCAGATCACCGATTTTGACTGAAAAGAGAAGGGGTTGTCGTAGATATTCATACTGTTCAGTGAGGCTGCTATTGTTAGTGTGTTTGGTCTGTCTAGTCTCGAGACAGGACCTTAATAGTCAGGACACAATGTCCTCTGGGGTGCATCAGCCTCCTCCTTATTGGTACAAGTTGACTTCACAGTAACAAACATCACATTAACATCACATTAAAGAGGAGAGGAGAGGAGAGGTTGTATCAAATTAACTGAGAGAGAGAGGTGAAGGGAGCTGAGGTCAGGGTGGCAGGAAGGAAGACACACACACACAATGATTCAACGTTATGCAAAAGAGAAAACTATCATCTCTGAACCTTATTCACTGTGCTTCACAACTTCCCATTGACTATGATATCCTGCCTGGCGGACTACCACAGACTGGGCTAGCTAGCGTACCGGAGGCTCTATTCTGTGCTGTTGTGGGGAAGCCACCAGCCAAGCCATAAGGTGTAAATAATCATCTTGATTACAGGAGATTGGGAGCCAATTTGTCTCCATGCAGTTTATATTGGTGTAGAGAGTTTAATGGCTGTTCCTAAAGCTGTATACATTAGACAGTATATTATAGCAATAGGAGGCTTATGTGGCTATTCCATTGTTCTTGAACAGAGCTGCCAGTTTGTTAGCATGTGAATTTGAAAGGTGTAGCCGAGCTATAGACTCTCTCGCTCTCTCTCCCCCGTTGGTGAGCTCCAGTGTGTGAATTATGAGCCTTCCTACTGTACTATCCCTGTAACACTCAAAGGTCCTTTCAATATTTCTTCACGCTGATCTTATTAAACACCAAAGAATTCAGCCACTTGCTTTTTTTTGGCCCACGCAAAGTTTCTTCTTAATCACGCCAAGGCTAATGTTTTTCATTTATTATTCATTTAGAAATGTCCTCTCAGATTGGGTGTGTGTGGGCTGTCTTTTGTTTGTTTCGTGGTCGGTGGTGTTTTTCTTTTCTGTAGCGGAGAAATGAGAGGCGATGCCCCGTGCGTGAGCCAGAGAGGGGGAAGAAGAGAGGGATGGGGAGAAGAGAGGGATGGGGAGAAGAGAGGGAGAGAGACCGCAGTATGAAAACATTGTCTTTGAGGGGACTTATGACAGCGTTAGCAGGGAGAGAGCGACTAGGCCTGTAAAAACAATCAGGGAAAGACGATGGAGATCGTCCCTCGCTTTCAAACACGTCTTATGCTTTTTCTTGCCTTTGTCACATTTCTTATTTCTTGGTCCTCCCTCTTGCTCCCAAAGTTTGGTGATTTTTAGGCTGTAAAAAAAAATTAGGCTGTAAAAAAAAAAGGTCAGAGATGTCTGTGGTCTAAATAAAATACAACCTCTTAGCCCCGAGTCAACTGTGGTGGGTGTCTTATGTAATTCTCTCTCTCTCTCTCTCTCTCTCTCTCCCCCCCCCCCCACCTCTCTCAGACGTAGGTCACACACATTGACATAGGTTGTTTTTTACAATGTCTTTGCATATCCATTGTTCTAGTATTACCTTTAATCTTAAGAATATCCTTGCCGTTAGATTAGCTACTGTAGGTCTTTCCATAATATCCTTGCCGTTAGATTAATTACTGTAGATCTTTCCAGAATATCCTTGCCAATAGATTAGCTACTGTAGATCTTTCCAGAATATCCTTGCCAATAGATTAGCTACTGTAGATCTTTCCAGAATATCCTTGACAATAGATTAGCTACTGTAGATCTTTCCAGAATATCCTTGACAATAGATTAGCTACTGTAGATCTTTCCAGAATATCCTTGACAATAGATAAGGTACTGTAGATCTTTCCAGAATATCCTTCCCATTAGATTAGCTACTGTAGATCTTTCCAGAATATCATTTCCATTAGATTAGCTAACCTAATCTAACGGCAAGGATTAGGGGACCTAATCTTTTACTTGTTTAGCCCAAGATGTTTAGATCTGGAATCTCTAGAGAGAGAGAGAGCGAGATAGAGGATAGAGCTCGATCGCCTAGAAGATCTCAGACGTCTATATCTCTATCTCTATATATATATATCATCTCTTCTCTTCTATCTTCTATCTCTATCTCTCGCTCTCTATCTCTCTCCTCTCTCTCTCTCTCTCTCCTCTCTCTCCCTCTGCATGGGAAACGTATGTTAACATTGCCAAAGCAAGTGAAGTAGATATTAAACAAAAGTGAAATAAACAATACAAATTAACAGTAAACATTACACTCAGAATTTCCAAAAGAATAAAGACATTTCAAATGTAATCTTATGTATATATACAGTGTTGTAACAATGTGCAAATAGTTAAAGTACAAATGGGAAAATAAATAAACGTAAATATGGGTTGTATTTACAATGGTGTTTGTTCTTCACTGGTTGTCCTTTTCTTGTGGCAACAGGTCACAAATCTTGCTGCTGTGATGGCACATTGTGGTATTTCACCCAGTAGATAAGGGAGTTTATCAAAATTGGGTTTGTTTTCGAATTCTTTGTGGATCTGTGTAATCTGAGGGAAATATATATCTCTAATATGGTCATACATTTGGCAGGAGATTAGGAAGGGCAGCTCTGTTTCCACCTCATTTTGTGGGCAGTGTGCACATAGCCTGTCTTCTCTTGAGAGCCAGGTCTGCCTCTGGCAGCCTTTTTCAATAGCAAGGCTATGCTCACTGAGTCTGTACATAGTCAAAGCTTTCCTTAAGTTTGGGTCTGTCACAGTGGTCAGGTATTCTGCCACTCTGTACTCTCTTTTTAGGGCCAACTAGCATTCTAGTTTGCTCTGTTCTTTTGTTAATTCTTTCCCATGTGTCAAGTAATTATCTTTTTGTTTTCTCATGATTTGTTTGGGTCTAATTGTGTTGTTGTCCTGGGGCTCTGTGGGGTCTGTTTGTGTTTGTGAACAGAGCCCCAGGACCAGCTTGCTTAGGGGACTCTTCTCCAAGTTAATCTCTCTGTAGGTGATGGCTTTGTTATGGAAGGTTTGGTAATCGCTTCCTTTTAAGTGGTTATAGAATTTAACGTCTCTTTTCTGGATATTGATAATTAGCGGGTATCGGCCTAATTCTGCTCTGCATGCATTATTTGGTGTTTTACGTTGTACACAGAGGATATTTTTGCAGAATTCTGGATGCAGAGCCTCAATTTGGTGTTTGTCCCATTTTGTGAATTCTTGTTGGTGAGCGGACCCCAGACCTCACAACCATAAAAGGTAATGGGTTCTATAACTGATTCAAGTATTTTTAGCCAGGTCGTAATTGGTATGTCAAATTTTATTTTCCTTTTGATGGTGTAGAAGGCCCTTCTTGCCTTGTCTCTCAGATCGTTCACAGCTTTGTGGAAGTTACCTGTGGTGCTGATGTTTAGGCCGAGTTATGTATAGTTATATATGGTTTATCCGCCTCTGTGACCGCCGATAACTTCAGAACAAAGTTGCCAATGTATTTGCAGTTCATACAAGCAAGCGACTTGTAAAAAGATGATTCAAATTAAAACCCAGATGTCTGCATTAAAATATATATACAGTAGGCTACATGCCTATGTCAATCATATTGAAATACATTTCATGTTCAATCAATTGAGTTCTATTTTGCTACTTGTAGGCTAATGTCTGTAATTTGTCTCAATATACACTGAGTGTACAAAACATTGCTCTTTTCATGACATAGACTGACCAGGTGAATCCAGCTGAAAGCTATAATCCCTTATTGATGTCACTTGTTAAATCCACTTTAATCAGTGTAGATAAACGGGAGGAGACAGGTTAAAGGATTTTTAAGCCTTGAGACAATTGAGACATGGATTGATAATGTGTGCCATTCAGAGGGTGAATGGGCAAGAAACAAGATTTAAGTGCCTTTGAACGGGGTATGGTCGTAGGCGTACCGGTTTGTGTCAAGAACTGCAACGCTGCTGGGTTTTTCACGCTCAACAGTTTGCTGTGTGTATCAAGAATGGTGCACCACCCAAAGGAATCCAGTGAACTTGACACAACTATGGGCCAGCATCCCTGTGGAACGCTTTCAACACCTTGTAGAGTCCATGCCCTGACAAATTGAGGCTATTCTGAGGGCATAAGGGGGGGTGCAACTACGTTTTAGGAAGATGTTCCTAATGTTTGGTATTGTGATGAGGTGATGTTGAAGGAGTCAGGCGCAGGAGGGTAAATCACAGAATAACAGGCTTTATTCCGCAACCACAGAGTTACGCAGGAACGTGTCAAAACACTCCAGTGCACAAAACAGGCGCACTGAAAAATACAAGGCACACGGGAAAATATCCCGGCGATAAAAAATACAAGGAGCTCCACCGAGCTTCACACCTCTCCACAATAAACAATCACACACAAAGACAAGGGGGCAGAGGGAACACTCATACAGGTACTGGTGAGGGGATATGAACCAGGTGTGTGTAATAAACAAGACAAAACAAATGGAATGATGAGATGAGGAGTGGCTAGAAGGCCAGTGACCCCCCCCCCCCCCCCCCCCCCCCCGACGAGCAGCTCCAGCAGCGCGCCGACACCGGCCTCGGGGACGGCCAGGGCGAGCCGGATAGGCGACGGTGGAAATCCCGCAACAGGGAGGGATCGAGGATATCCCTCACCGGGACCCAGTACCGCTCCTCCGGAACGTACCCCTCCCAATCCACGTTGTACTGAAGGCCCCCCACCCGAATCTGGAGGGACTAGTAACCTATAGGTAACCTAGTTTATTCTCCTCAGGACTTTAAAAGGCCCCACAAACCGTGGGCTCAGCTTCCGGCAGGGCAGGCGGAGTGGCAGATTCCGGGTCGAGAGCCAGACCCGGGTACAAAGACCGGGGCCTCACTGCGGTGGCGGTCAGCGTTGGCCTTCTGGCGACACACGGCGCGTTGGAGGTGGATGTGAGCAGCGTTCTACGTCTCCTCCGCGCGCCGAAACCAGTCATCCACCGCAGGAGCCTCGGTCTGGCTCTGATGCCATGGTGCCAGAACCTAAACACATTGAAATGGTGATAGGTTAGTGGAGGAGTGGCGGAGAGAGTTCTGGGCATATTCGGCCCATGGCAAGAACACCGACCACTCCCCCGGCCGGTCCTGGCAGTAGGACCACAGGAACCTACCCACATCCTGATTCACCCGTTCCACCTGCCCATTAGACTCGGGGTGAAAACCAGAGGTCAGGCTGACTGAGACCCCCAGACGTTCCATGAACGCCTTCCAGACCCTGGATGTGAACTGGGGACCCCGGTCAGACACTATGTCCTCTGGCACCCCGTAGTGCCGGAAGACGTGTGTAAACAAGGCCTCCGAACGGTAGTGATGGATCGGGATGGGCCAGTACCGTGGTTGAGGTGAACAGGACCCTCAGGTTACTGAAGGCCCTGTCAGCCTCAGCAGACCAGCGGAGCCGGGATGGCCCACCCTTTAACAGTGATGTGATGGGAGCTGCGACCTTGCCAAAGCCCCGGATAAACCTCCGATAGTAGTTGCAAAGCCAATAAAGCGCTGCAACTCCTTAACCGTGGTTGGAGTAGACCAATTACGCACGGCTGAAACAGAGGCTTCTGTCTCTCTGTCTGTGCCCCGCTAGGCCCTTACCCTCTGCAATCTCCCTCCATCTCCACAAATGAGGTGGTAATGCGGTGTCAGAAAAAAAACAGACACTTTTCTGCCTTGGTGTTACGTTCCCCAGTTTCTGTGTTGTGGTTTGTGTATTTTCATGTATGTATTTCAGGAAATGGGTTCCTGAAATTGTGGTGCGTTGAGATAGGACAGCGCCTATCCCTACCTCGGACGCATCCACCTCCACTACGAATCAATCAACAAGCAGCTGATTGATTGGATGAACATTGATGATTGGAGAGCTGACCCCGCGCCCTCGTCAGGACGCCCTCGTCAGGACGCATCTGTCTCCTTACCAACTCCTTCTGAAGCTATATAAGCCTCTGTTGCTCAGAAGGGGGGGGGGGACCAGAATGGCTGAGAGTTATAGCATGTTGGTTGTTGCTAAAACATTTGGTATGTACTGTGTAGTTGTTGCTGTGAGAACCAATTGTAATGTTTTGTGTTAGTTTGTTGCTCAGAGAGTTTCTTTAATGTCCTTAGTTAGTTTTTTTTTCTCAGGTTTTGTTGTGAACCAGTTTGTGCTATTTTTGTTTCATTTGTTCCCAAGGGGGGAAGGGGAAGGCACCTAGGGAGTGCTTAGGCAAGAGGCCCGCGGGCATACATTGCCCGTAGAAGTTGACTGTCTATGCACACTAGGAAAGACCTGGGCGGACCATCCCTTGTATTTTGGTTAGTGCACCAGGTGGTGCTAGTTAAGTAAGTAGTGGGTAGGCAGGTAAGGTAGGAGAGGGGGCTTTGATATTTACTTTCTTTGCTTTGGTTCCGTCCAGCCCCTTTTCCCCAAACTTACCGTGCAAAGGAATAAATTCCCTGTTAACGGTTTTCTCTGCCTTTTGTCATCCTTACTCACACCTACAGTCCCATACCTCTTTCACAGCACGGAGAGTTGAGTTGTAGCAGGGTATTGCGTTCCCTCTTCCGAGAGGAGTGCGTAACACTTGGCATAAAGGTCATGTTCAACAGTCGGGCCAGCACTTTGCGAACCAGGGACACATGCTCGGCGCGCGTAGCGGAATACACCAGAATGTCATCAATGTAGACCACTACACCGCGACCAAGCATGTCCCAAAACACCTCGTTCACAAAGGACTGGAAGACGGATGGAGCATTCATCAAACTGTAAGGCATCCCCAGGTATTCGTAATGCCCCGTGGTTGTGTTGAATGCTGTCTTCCACTCATCCCCCTCTCGGACACGCACCAGGTTGTACGCACTCCGGAGATCTAATTTTGTGAAGAAGCACGCCCCATGCATTGACCCAATCACAGATGGAATGAGGGGTAGAGGATAACTATAACGTATAGTCCCCTTATTCAGTGCTCGGTAATCAATGCAAGGGCGCAGACCTCCGTCTTTCTTCTTCACAAAAAATGAACTTGAGGAGGCGGGCGAAGTGGAGGGACGTAGGAAATCCTGGCGCAGGGACTCGGAGACGTATGTCTCCATAGCCTCCGTTTCAGCCTGCGACAGGACTCCTGGGAGGCACAGCGTCTACCTGGAGGTTTATCGCGCAATCCCCCTCCCGATAAGGTGGTAATTTGGTCGCCTGCGTTTTGGAAAATGCGTGCGCCAAATCGAGGTATTCAGGGGGAATGCGCACGGTGGAGGTAGTGTCTGGACTTTCCACCATGGTTGCACCAACGGAAACAGCTAGACACCTACCCTGACACTCTCGTGATCACCCTGTGAGAACCCTCTGCGGCCATGAAAAGGTGGGGTTGTGTAGTGCTAACCAGGGAAGACCTAACACTACAGGGTAATCAGGAGATTCAATAATACAAAAAGTGACTTGCTGTCGATGCGTCTCGTGTGTAACCATATTGACTGGTGCTGTAACCTCCCTAACGAACCCGGACCCTAATGGTTGACTGTCAAGTGCTCTGATGGGGAGTGGAATGGATAGGGGAACCAATGAAATGCCTAGACTATTTGCAAATGACCTGTCAATAAAGTTCCCAGCTGCGCCTGAATCGGCCAGCGCCTTACACTGGGGAACTACCGTGTAATCAGGAAAGTGGATGGGTAGGGTACAGTGCGCAGCAGAGGGCTCTGAGCGAATGTGGGTGTTCGATACCTGGGGTGACGCGAGAGTGCCCTGCCTGCCGCCTCCAGACCCAAAAGAATGCAGACAACAGCGTGCAGCAGAATGTCCTCCCGTGCCACAAGATTGACACTGGCGCTGTCGTCCTCCGCTCTCCCGGAACGCCGCTTCACCCAGCTCCATCATCTCATGATCCGGGTTGGGGGGGGATAGAATGGACAGGCCCCTTCCAGGACGTCCTCTAGAATCCAGCAGATTGTCCAACCGGATGGCCATGTCCACCAGTTGATCGAAGGACAACGTGGTGTCCCATCAGGCTAGCTCCCTTTTGGACATCCTCTCGTAGCTGGCACCTGAAGTGGTCGATGAGGGCCCGCTCGTTCCACCCGGACCCAGCCGCTAGAGTCCGAAACTCCAGGGCGAAGTCCTGCGCGGTCCTCGTCCCCTGTCTCAGGTGGACCAGCCGCTCGCCCGCCCTCTACCTTCGTAGTTCTCCAACACGGCTCCTTCTTCACTCCAAACCGCGTTGGCCCACTCCAGGGCGTTTCCCCGAGAGACAGGAGACAAGGGTGGACACCTTCTACCGCTCCGATGGAGCCGGGCTGATGGTTGTAAAGTAGAGGTCCAGCTGCAGGAGGAATCCCTGGCAGCGGGCAGCTGTCCTATCATACTCCCTTGGTCGCTCAACTGGTCTTGGAGGATTGGGTTCTCTCCTCTCCAGGCATTGGACGACCTGGAGAACCCGATCCATCGCTTCTCCCAAGCTGGCTAGCATATCAGAATGCTCCCGGACCCGTGCCACGACTCCAGGCAGGTGCTCCTCTCCTGCTAACTCCGGGTGTGTGATTCTGTGATGAGGTGATGTTGAAGGAGTCAGGCGCAGGAGGGTAAATCACAGAATAACAGGCTTTATTCCGTTTCCACGCAGGAACGCGTCAAAACACTCCAGTGCGCAAAACAGGCACACTGGAAAATACAAGTCACACAGGAAAATATCCCGGTGATACAAAATACAAGGAGCTCCACCGAGCTTCACTACTCTCCACAATAAACAATCACACACAAAGACAATGGGACAGAGGGAACACTTATACAGGTACTGATGAGGGGATATGAACCAGGTGTGTGTAATAAACAAGACAAAACAAATGGAATGGAATGATGAGCGGCAGTGGCTAGAAGGCCGGTGACGACGACCGCCGAAGCCTGCCCGAACAAGGAGAAGAGGCAGCTTCTGAGGAAGTCGTATACTCAGTGTATTTCATGATGTGTAGCCTAACGTGCGCAATGATGTGCCAAATCTTGATTTAGCGCATTATTATAGGGTAAGCATTAGAATAAGCCACCTCAATATTTGCAGCCATTTACATTTACAACAGAGCCTGGATTCGAACCAGGATCTCTAGTGGCACAGCTAGCACTGCGATGCAGTGCCTTAGACCACTGTGCCACTCGGGAGGGCCAAGTGATATCTTTCTTGGAGCTGATCCATCATCAGTACTGTGGAATAATGATAATGTTAAGGTAAGATTTGAATGGAGAAAGCTTTCTTTCGATCATATCAGTATCGACACATGCCTCAATGACGCACTTAGCAAACGTTCTCTCTGCGTGGGGTTTTGGGAAACGCATGTTACATCTTCGGACGTTGTAGGAAAGATGCATCGTTAAAACCCTCCTAAGCCTAAATTCAATCGCTATCGGGACATTTCTCCCCCCCCCCCCCCCAATAAAAAATAAAAAATGTACAGTAAATATTACACTCACAGAAGTTCCAAAATAATAGAGACATTTAAAATGTCATATTATGTCTATATACAGTGTTGTAACAATGTGCAAGTAGTTAAAGTACAAAAGGGAAAATAAATAAACATAAATATGGGTTGTATTTCACAATGGTGTTTGTTCTTCACTGGTTGCCCTTTTCTTGTGGCAACAGGTCACAAATCTCTCTCTCTATCCCCCTCCCTCTCTCTCTGTGGTTTCAGCATGACTGTTTGTTGATAATGCAGATAAGCTGTCAGGCTCCTCAAAAACAAGCCTGGGGATTCAGGGATAGGATAGGATAGTCAGTGGTGGAAAAAGTACTACATTTCTTTAGGAATGTAGTGGAGTAAGTTGTCAAAAATATAAATGGTAAAGTAAAATACAGATACCCCCAAAAAGTACTTAAGTATTACTTTAAAACATTTTTACTTAGTTACTTTACACAACTGAGGATAGGTGGCCATCTGTTCTGTCTGTGAGGGAGGGATATTTTATATGTGTGTACCTGTGTGAGGGATAACTTTGTGATTGTATTTCCTATATAATATTAATACATTTGTTTTTGAATGCTCTTTTTGTGTGTTTAAAAAAAAACGGTAATTGTGTATCTATTGCACATTTTCTTTACCTTTCATCTTTTTCTGTCTCTCTGTCTGTGCCCCGCTAGGTCCTTACCCTCTGGCAGTAGCACCCCCTGGTGGTTGGAGGGGGATGGAGCGCAGCGGTGGGGAGAGCCCCCGCATGCAGGACAGTCCTGAGCGGGAGCAGTGGGGGGGCAGCCCGGACCTCAGCGGACCCCCGCCAGGGAAAATGGGGCGTCTGGAGCTCAATGGGAGCCCCACTGGGCCACGCCTCCTACGTCACAATGGCAACCCACACGGACCCCTGGGAGGTATGGCACCCCGAAACACACCCACAGATAGATACTACCTTCCATCCAATGCTTACACCAATCCAATGCCTTTAAATCCATAATGGGGTGGGTGCAAGTGTGGAGAATCAGGATGTAGCCACACTCACAGTAGAGGCCTTCACAGGTCCAAAAAGTTGGACCCATTCTGAAATGGACCTGGGGATTTTCCATCCAAACCCGATATGCATAAATTAATTTGTGCAATATACAGAACCGTTCTGAACTGACCCGAGTACAACTAGACCCGTTCCGTATAGACCTGGTTGGATCCAGACCCAATCCAATCTGAGTTAAGGAAGCAGCAGAAAAGTTAATTGTTTAAGATAATTTATTAACCGGAGCTGATAAATCGCAAGGGAGAGGAGGTAGAGAGAGGTGACGCTGTATGTAGGCTACTGTGAGTGTGAGCGAGTAACACGGGAACAGGGACGATGGAGAGAGAGACGAGAGACCGCAACCAACCAAGCCAACTCGCGCTATAGTAGATTAATAACTGCCATACCTAGGTTATTTATCATCCAATATGATTACGTAGTAACTGTATTGACTGCATCAAACCGGGAGAAGCTAGTTAAGCTAGCTAGCTAGCTAGGCTAATTGAGGCTGCATGCGCTAACACAGTTACAAACAACAACAACTCAGAATATTAAGTAGCAACCTAACTGTTGGCTCTTGGACATTGTAGCATATCCTTCTCCTTTAACCTCTACGGGATCAATGTCCCGTATACGGGATGGTTGAGCAAACGTGCGCTAATGTGATTAGCATGACTGTTGTAAGTAACAGCAAACTTTCCAGGACATAGGCATGTCTTATATGGGCAGAAAGCTTAAATTATTGTTAATCGAACTGCACTGTCCAATTTACAGTAGTTATTACAGTGAAAAAATACCATGCTATTGTTTGAGGAGAGTGCATAACAACAACAACAATTATCACGGCAACTGGTTTGATACATTCACCTCTGAAGGTAAATAATGTACTTACATTCAGTAATCTTGTTCTGATTTGTCATCCTGAGGGTCCCAGAGATAAAATGTAGCATAGTTTTGTTTGATAAAATCCATTTTTAAATTCTAATGTAGGAACTGGATTTTACAGTTTGAACCCTTGCTGTCTCTGGCTCCACACCCACCCCACCCGGCCATCTATGTCACGATCGTTGAGAGACGGGTCAGACCAAGGTGTAGCCTGGTATGCGAACATGTTTATTAAACTGGATAAACTCTGACAAAACAACAAAAGGCAACGAAATGTGACGTCGGAAGGCTATACACAAAATAAGCCAAACACACCGAAACACAAACAAGATCCCACAACCCAGGCAGGAAAACTGGCTGCCTAAGTATGATCCCCAATCAGAGACAACGAGCGAAAGCTGCCTCTGATTGGGAATCATACCCGGCCAAACATAGAAGTATAACCCCTAGACTCTAACCATAGATATACAACATAGAACTAAACATGCACACCCTGACCAAACTAACTAGAGTTCTAGAGGTCAGGGCGTGACAATCTAGATGTGTGAAAGTTAATGTACAGTGGGGGGAACAAGTATTTGATACACTGCCGATTTTGCAGATTTTCCTACTTACAAAGCATGTAGAGGTCTGTAATTTTTTTCATAGGTACACTTCAACTGTGAGAGACGGAATCTAAAACAAAAATCCAGAAAATCACATTGTATGATTTTTAAGTAATTCATTTGCATTTTATTGCATGACATAAGTATTTGATCACCTACCAACCAGTCAGAATTCCGGCTCTCACAGACCTGTTAGTTTTTCTTTAAGAAGCCCTCCTGTTCTCCACTCATTACCTGTATTAACTGCACCTGTTTGAACTCGTTACCTGTATAAAAGACACCTGTCCACACACTCAATCAAACAGACTCCAACCTCTCCACAATGGCCAAGACCAGAGAGCTGTGTAAGGTCATCAGGGATAAAATTGAAGACCTGCACAAGGCTGGGATGGGCTACAGGACAATAGGCAAGCAGCTTGGTGAGAAGGCAACAACTGTTGGCGCAATTATTAGAAAATGGAAGAAGTTCAAGATGACGGTCAATCACCCTCGGTCTGGGGCTCCATGCAAGATCTCACCTCGTGGGGCAACAATGATCATGAGGAAGGTGAGGGATCAGCCCAGAACTACACGGCAGGACCTGGTCAATGACCTGAAGAGAGCTGGGACCACAGTCTCAAAGAAAACCATTAGTAACACACTACGCCGTCATGGATTAAAATCCTGCAGCGCACGCAAGGTCCCCCTGCTCAAGCCAGCGCATGGTCATGTATCGCGAGATCTTGGCCAACAACCTCCTTCCCTCAGTAAGAGCATTGAAGATGGGTCATGGCTGGGTCTTCCAGCATGACAACGACCTGAAACAGACAGCCAGGGCAACTAAGGAGTGGCTCCATAAGAAGCATCTCAAGATCCTGGAGTGGCCTAGCCAGTCTCCAGACCTGAACCCAATAGAACATCTTTGGAGGGAGCTGAAAGTCTGTATTGCCCAGCGACAGCCCCAAAACCTGAAGGATCTGGAGAAGGTCTGTATGGAGGAGTGGGACAAAATCCCTGCTGCAGTGTGTGCAAACCTGGTCAAGACCTACAGGAAACGTATAATAATAATAATAATATGCCATTTAGCAGACGCTTTTATCCAAAGCGACTTACAGTCATGCGTGCATACATTTTTGTGTATGGGTGGTCCCGGGGATCGAACCCACTACCTTGGCGTTACAAGCGCCGTGCTCTACCAGCTGAGCTACAGAGGACCACGTATGATCTCTGTAATTGCAAACAAAGGTTTCTGTACCAAATATTAAGTTCTGCTTTTCTGATATATCAAATACTTATGTCATGCAATAAAATGCAAATGAATTACTTAAAAATCATACAATGTGTTTTTCTGGATTTTTGTTTTAGATTCCATCTCTCACAGTTGAAGTGTACCTATGATAAAAATTACAGACCTCTACATGCTTTGTAAGTAGGAAACACTGCCGATTTTGCAGGTTATCAAATACTTGTTCTCCCCACTGTATAAGCTAATGATCCATCATGTATGTGTGTGTAAACTTACATTTTGTATTACCATATCATTTTTGTATGTTCTCTATAGTTATGTACTTGAAAATGTATCAATTGACCAATTTGGCACATTTGGGCAGACTTGATACAAAATAGTCCAGTATTGCAATGCTTCACTGGATCAATCTGAAACTTTGCACACACAGTGCTGCCATCTAGTGGCCAAAATCTAAATTGTGCCTAAACTGCAATATTATATTGTGGCCTTTCTCTTGCATTTCAAAGATGATAAAAAAACAAAACATCTTTTTTTGTTTGTATTATCTTTTACCAGATCTAATGTGTTATATTCTCCTACATTAATTTCACATTTCCACAAACTTCAAAGTGTTTCCTTTAAAAATGGTATCAGGAATCTGCATATCCTTGCTTCAGGTCCTGAGCTACAGGCAGTTAGATTTGGGTATGTAATTTTAGGTGAAAAATGAAAAAAAGATCCTTAAGAGGTTAACTTTTAATTCTATCATTTTAATTCCATCCTCCATTGATTAGATATCTCCTAACTTTTGCCACACAAGGAGCGAGGCTCTATGACTGTAGCCTATTGATGCTTTGATGACCTATGATTGGCCAACAACAAGCTACACGCGCCACTCTCATGAAAAGCAAAGAGCAACAGCATAAATTATACAATTTCTCTCTCTCTACTGCAGCAGTCACGTTCGGATCTATATGGGTCCTTCCGGACAAGTCAGTTCAAATTACACACACCCGAGACCCGTGATAATCATATCAGATCCGACCCAGAACCGTGACATTATTTAGAATTCTGGATTCGGACCGGGTCTCAGGTCCCGGACCTGGTCTCGGGTATTCTCTAACTCACAGCCCTGACAGTTATAATGTCTCTTTCTTTGTCTTAGCCTTATTCTCTCTCTCTCTGGCCCTGACCATCTGGTAACTAGGGCCGGGACTGGAGTTCTGGCCCTAATCGTACTGCACATTGCCATGCACTCTAGAGTTCATGAAGCCCATTGTAGTATTTTATAGGACTGTGTAATAGGATCAATTCAGTCCTATACTGGGCCATGCTGTGTAGATCTAGGCCACTCCGTAGGAGTGGGAAACTATATAATACTGAGGTTACTGAATAAAGTAGCGCTATATAAAGCTGATTTACAGTGAGGGAAAAAAGTATTTGATCTCCTGCTGATTTTGTACGTTTGCCCACTGACAAAGAAATGATCAGTCTATAATTTTAATGGTAGGTTTATTTGAACAGTGAGTGACAGAATAACAACAACAAAATCCAGAAAAATGCATGTCAAAAAGGTTATAAATTGATTTGCATTTTAATGAGGGAAATAAGTATTTGACCCCTCTGCAAAACATGACTTAGTACTTGGTGGCAAAACCCTTGTTGGCAATCACAGAGGTCAGACGTTTCTTGTAGTTGGCCACCAGGTTTGCACACATCTCAGGAGGGATTTTGTCCCACTCCTCTTTGCAGATCTTCTCAAAGTCATTAAGGTTTCGAGGCTGACGTTTGGCAACTCGAACCTTCAGCTCCCTCCACAGATTTTCTATGGGATTAAGGTCTGGAGACTGGCTAGGCCACTCCAGGACCTTAATGTGCTTCTTCTTGAGCCACTCCTTTGTTGCCTTGGCCGTGTGTTTTGGGTCATTGTCATGCTGGAATACCCATCCACGACCCATTTTCAATGCCCTGGCTGAGGGAAGGAGGTTCTCACCCAAGATTTGACGGTACATGGCCCCGTCCATCGTCCCTTTGATGCGGTGAAGTTGTCCTGTCCCCTTAGCAGAAAAACACCCCAAAGCATAATGTTTCCACCTCCATGTTTGACGGTGGGGATGGTGTTCTTGGGGTCATAGGCAGCATTCCTCCTCCTCCAAACACGGCGAGTTGAGATGATGCCAAAGAGCTCGATTTTGGTCTCATCTGACCACTTTCACCCAGTTCTCCTCTGAATCATTCAGATGTTCATTGGCAAACTTCAGATGGGCATGTATATGTGCTTTCTTGAGCAGGGGGACCTTGCTGGCGCTGCAGGATTTCAGTCCTTCACGGCGTAGTGTGTTACCAATTGTTTTCTTGGTGACTATGGTCCCAGCTGCCTTGAGATGGTTGACAAGATCCTCCCGTGTAGTTCTGGGCTGATTCCTCACCGTTCTCATGATCATTGCAACTCCACGAGGTGAGATCTTGCATGGAGCCCCAGGCCGAGGGAGATTGACAGTTATTTTGTGTTTCTTCCATTTGCGAATAATCGCACCAACTGTTGTCACCTTCTCACCAAGCTGCTTGGCGATGGTCTTGTAGCCCATTCCAGCCTTGTGTAGGTCTACAATCTTGTCCCTGACATCCTTGGAGAGCTCTTTGGTCGTGGCCATGGTGGAGAGTTTGGAATCTGATTGATTGATTGCTTCTGTGGACAGGTATCTTTTATACAGGTAACAAGCTGAGATTAGGAGCACTCCCTTTAAGAGTGTGCTCCTAATCTCAGCTCGTTACCTGTATAAAAGACACCTGGGAGCCAGAAATCTTTCTGATTGAGAGGGGGTCAAATACTTATTTCCCTCATTAAAATGCAAATCAATTTATAACATTTTTGACATGCGTTTTTCTGGATTGTTTTGTTGTTATTCTGTCTCTCACTGTTCAAATAAACCTACCATTAAAATTATAGACTGATCATGTCTTTGTCAGTGGTCAAACGTACAAAATCAGCAGGGGATCAAATACTTTTTTCCCTCACTGTAGGTGGAGAGGTTAGAAGGGATAGTGGGAGAGGGAAGAGGGGGAGAGGGGATAGGTACTTCTCTTCTCTTCCTGTGCCCTGGCAGCAGCTGGAGTGGATGGTTAGTCTTCATGAGGGGTTGTCTTTGAAGAGAGGAAACTCAATGTGTCTCCTCCAAACCACAACCCAGCCATGAGGACTGGGCCACACACACACACACACACACACACACACACACACACACACACACACACACACACACACACACACACACACACACACACACACACACACACACACACACACACACACACACGCGCGCACACACACCAGCCATATACACATTACATTCTATGGAACACACTCACATTCAGATACATACTATTAAACATAATCATACAAACACACTGTAGGCCTATATATGAATGCTCACATATACAGTATACTCACATTCAGATATATTTAGGACATTCATAGCTCTTTACATTCATATATCACACACACACACATGCATATATTTAACACATATATTACACATGTCCATTCCCACACATTCCCACTACTAACAAGATCTGGAGGAAAAGGAGGAGAGGGTGATAGATACTGAGAGTAACTGAGTTACAGCAAGAGGGAACTACAAGAGAGTAACTGAGTTACAGCAAGAGGGAACTACGAGAGAGTAACTGAATTACAGCAAGAGGGAACTACGAGAGAGTGGGGGAAAGAGAAAGGTGTTGGCAAGGGAAAAGTGACGAAGTAGGGGATGGGAAGAGAGAGAGCGAGAGACAGAGAGACCCCAGAGAAAGAGAGGGAGGGAGGGAGGGGGAGGAGAGAGAGAGAGAGGCAGGGGAGAGGGAGAGAGGAGAGAGAGAGAGGAGACCAGGAGAGAGAAGACGGAGAGAGAGAGAGGAAGAAGAGAGAGAGAGAGAGGAGAGAGGGAGAGGGAGGGGAGAGAGGGGAGAGAGGGAAAGAGAGGGGAGAGAGGGAGAGAGAGAGAGGGAGAGAGGGAGGGGGGGAGGGAGGGAGGGGGGGGAGGGAGGAGGGAGGGAGGGAGAGAGAGACGAGAGAGAGAGGGGGGGAGAGAGAGAGAGAGCTGGTTGGAGCTGCTCTGTGTTGACAGTTATATTGGCCTGTTGGGGGAAATTCACTTACTTGAATTGGCTCACAGAGCTCCAGTGTGTAATTCACTCCATAAGAGCCCAACGAACTGGGAGCCGGTATGATTAATGGAGAGGAAATAGAAATATAGCAATTGACTGATTAAAACAAGAGAGAGGGAGAGAGCTCTAATGGTGCTGCTGTGTGTGTGTGTGTGTGTGTGTGTGTGTGTATGTATTTAGTATATGTGTGTGGGGAGGGGGGGGGGGGGGCATATGGCTGTGTGTGTGTGTGAGTGTGTGTGTGTGTGTGTTTGTGTGTGGTATAGCTCTGGTCTTATTGTTAGTGCAGGGAGTTTGCCTGATGCCCAGACCCTCATTTCTTGTGAGAGCCTTAATTAATTAGTCGACAGGTGGCCTACAACCAAAAGCCTTTTAGTAAAAAGAGGAATATTGGTGAAGGAGGAATTATGTTGTTGCTGTGAGCCAAAAGGATAGTGGAGCCATAGAGAAGAAACACAAATTCCCATATTAAAATATTGAGTTTAAATGTTGACTATTGTGTTAACCAGCTACTAATACTAGTGTTTACAAGTTATCATTCTATAGTGCATAGCGACAAAACTGTCCATAGAAAACCACAGCAGTTGGAACAATATTGAATATGGGGAGTGAAAGAACCCTAGTTGTCATGTGATGTAGTTAAGAAAAACCCTGGGCCCCTACTCACGCCACAGTTTGTGTGACTCTCCAACGTTGGTGACCTGTGGCCAGGTAACTGTGCCAGGTCTGATTCGACAGAGTGCCCTGGGCAGTTAAGGAAAGTGTGTGGGCATCGTTTAGGCCGTTGTGACTTTGGGAACGGTTACCATGACTCCAGCTTTATCTATGAAATGAACGGTTAAGTTATAAAGAATCTACATGTACAGTCAAATGAAGAGATGGAGACATGTACAGTCAAATGAAGAGATGGAGACATGTACAGTCAAATGAAGAGATGGAGACATGTACAGTCAAATGAAGAGATGGAGACATGTACAGTCAAATGAAGAGATGGAGACATGTACAGTCAAATGAAGAGATGGAGACATGTACAGTCAAATGAAGAGATGGAGACATGTACAGTCAAATGAAGAGATGGAGACATGTACAGTCAAATGAAGAGATGGAGACATGTACAGTCAAATGAAGAGATGGACACATGTACAGTCAAATGAAGAGATGGAGACGTGTACAGTCAAATGAAGAGATGGAGATGCTAAATTGCGATTAATCAGCACCAGCCAGGCCGTTTGAATTTACATATCATGTCTACTGAAATCTGTGTAATAATAAAATACAGAAGAACTGATAATGAACACAATAGCTTCTATTACTGTTGGGTCCTAAATGCACCAACTGTACTTGTATGACGTTAAATGAATGTAAATAACTTAGATAGTTATGGAATAGATAGATATGGAATAGATAGTTAACCTTTTCTGTTATTTGGAATCCTATCAGTATACACAACAGGTGAATAAACAGCCATCCAAATCAGCAGCATTCTATGTAATTAGACCTAATATTGTACTCGCTTGGCCTAAGTAGTCTTTTTGCCTTACGTTCCTCTCTCTCTCTCTCTCTCTCTCTCTCTCTCTCTCTCTCTCTCTCTCTCTCTCGCTCTCTCGCTCTCTCTCTCTCTCTACCTCTCTCTCTCTACCTCAGGTCTGATGATCCCAGTATTCTGTGTGGTGGAGCAGGCAGGGCTGGAGGGGGGGATGCAGCGTGAGGAGGTGGAGAGGAGCAAGGGACACAGAGAGGAGCATGCTGAGTTTGTCCTGGTCAGGAAAGACATCCTCTTCAACCAGCTGGTGGAGACGGCCCTGGTGGCCCTGGGGTACTCCCACAGCTCTGCTGCTCAGGCCCAGGGTGAGTACTGTAGCCTTCACAAAACATCAGCCATAACACCAACCGCTTGACCTGAGCACTTATCAACAAAGCACCAGCCAAAATAATATATGACATTTAGCAGACATACAGTAATACGCATAGGCATTTTATGTATGGTTGGTCCCGGGAATTGAACCCATTATCCTGGCATTGCAAGCACCATGCTCTACCAACTGAGCTACAGAGGACACAACAAAGCCTTTACCTGGTACTGAGTTGGAGATTGTGCTAAAACACTGTACAAAGTGTTAGAAAGGAGTCAGAGGACAGCAAAGCACTAATTCACTGGGAGGGATGCTAGCCTGTGAGGGATGCTAGCCTGTGAGGGACACTAGCCTGGGAGAGATGCTAGCCTGTGAGGGAAGCTAGCCTGTGAGGGATGCTAGCCTGTGAGGGATGCTAGCCTGTGAGGGATGCTAGCCTGTGAGGGATGCTAGCCAGGAGAGATGCTAGCCAGACTAAACACTCTGTATGATGTTTTGAGCTCTCAGGCTAAGTAAAGAATGTTTGAAAAACACAACTAAAGAGAAACTCATTAAACACAGAACAAAGAGTTGGAAAGGAATGAGTCTAGTTCCTCCAAGAGGCCAAAATAATATGTGTGCGACTAAATTTGTGTAAGTATATGCACATGCTTTAATGTGTGGTGTGTGTATGTGTGTGTGCGCGCGCATATGTGTGTACATGTCTGTGTATGTGTGAGAATGTTTATGAAAGAGGTTTATGGGAGAAACATAATAACTGTGTAATTTATTGTTGCACACATGGTTGCCATCGTCAAGAGGACAGTGCAGTTTACTTGTGTTCACTAAAGTATGCAGAACATTCTTACTGGGGGAGTTTCTTCACATTGATATATGGTAACAATAGACACAACCAGGCAGCTGACATACAGATGTAGGAGCTTAATTTGATCACTCTTTTGTTGCTGAGAATGTACCTGCACAGGTTTCAAAAGGCTTCTAAAGTTTGTAATGTCCACTTTAAAATGTCAGACTTGATTTTCCCAAACGAAAAATGTATCAAAAATAATAATAATCTACATTATAATTTGCATTTCCTGTTGCTGCAGGATTATTTTCCTGCTGTAGCAAACTGGCTCAAATTAAGATCCTACATCTGTACATGGACTTAAACTGAAATAGTGTGTGAATCTGCTTCTTTTGATGTCTCTGTTAGTGGCTGCAATGAGACACCCTCTATTACTCTTTCCTTATGTTAAAACAGTCTGGATTCTTTGGGGCTATTAACGGAATTAGGCAATAACTGAACTGTTGCCCCTGTGTGTCAGAATTTTTTGTTGTGTGTTATATTACTGGTACTAGTATTTATTGCAGTATTTAATGCAGTATTTATTGCAGTACTATTGCGATGCATCAAGATAAGTCACTAAAATGATCACTGTCATGGCGCCAGCTTTGTTGTAACAGCCAAGCCAACCTATGTGTAATGTGGGGATGCTCTGATATCAGATATCATATAATCTAATTTATCGTTTGACCCGACAAATCTCATGTCATGTTATGTGACGTACGTGAGAGATCTCACTTCATACAGCACACCAACACATCGTAACAGACAGTGTGTGTGTGTGTGTGTGTGTGTGTGTGTGTGTGTGTGTGTGTGTGTGTGTGTGTGTGAGTGCGTGCGTGCGTGCGTGCGTGCGTGCGCGTAAGACAAACTGGCACAGCACAGGTAATCCCTATTTACTGCCTCAAGGTCAACAACTCCTATCACCATCTCTGAATGAACTCTCTTTTCTGCTTTCCGTCTCTTTCCTCTCTGCCAAATCACCTAAAGCACACTGTACTGTACCCACTGTACTGTACCCACTGTACTGTACCCACTGTACCCATATGCTCTTACAAGTCCCCTACATGAATCGCTGTTTGAATCGACTCCTCTTCTCTTTACTCTGTTTTCCTCTGCCATACACAGACCATACTGTACTCTGTCCCCTACGCTCTTAGTGTAGATCAAATCAAATCAAATTGTATTTGTCACATGCTTCGTAAAACAACATGTGTAGACTAACAGTGTAATGCTTATTTACGGGCCCGTCCCAACAATGCAGAAAGAAAAATATAGAGACAATTATAACATGAGGAATAAATACACAATGAGTAACGATAACTTGGCTATATACACGGGTACCAGTACAGAGTCGATGTGCAGGGGTACGAGGTAATGGAGGTTGCTACTGTATGTACATATAGGTAGGGGAAGGGTGACTAGGCAACAGAATAGATAATAAACAGTAGCAGCAGCATATTTGGTGAGTCAAATGAGTTAGTGCAAAAAGGTTAAATGCAGATAGTCCAAGTAGCTATTTAGCAGTCTTATGGCTTGGGGGTAGACGCTGTTCAGGGTCCTGTTGGTTCCAGACTTGGTGCATCTGTAACACTTGCCATGCAGTAGCAGAGAGAACAGTCTATGGCTTGGGTGGCTAGAGTCTTTGGCAATTTGTAGGGCCTTCCTCTGACACCGCCTGGTATAGAGGTCCTGGATGGCAGGGAGCTCGGCCCCAGTGATATACTGGGCTGTACGCACTACCCTCTGTAGCGCCTTGCGGTCCCTGCAGTTGCCATACCAAACGTTGATGCAGCCAGTCAACCTAAGGGCAAAAGATGCTCTCAGTGGTGCTGCTGTATACATTTTTGAAGATCTGAGTGCCCATGCCAAATCTTTTCAGCCTCCTGAGGGGGAAGATGCATTGTCGTTCCTTCTTCATGACAGTGTGGACCATGTTAATTCCTTAGGTCCCGATTCCGAACAGAGTTAAGTGCGTGTAAATGGAACGTTATTCCCTTTTTATGAACTTTTCTCTCTATGCCTATTCTGACCTTGAACTTGAGCATGAGAATAGCATGCTATACACCCGCTATTTGTTCGGGGTGGAGATCTAAGCAATGAAGGTGTGTCTACAGATACGCTGTATTCTGACCTTGACTTAATTCCCTCGTAATATCACCACCTTTACGCGCGAGGAAACCATGAATAAGGTCAAGTGAACCTGCCGGAAAAAGTGGGAAAAGCATCTACTTAATTTTTCCCAATAGAAATAACAGCATTCTCCATGCACTGTAATTTATAAATGAATAAGAGCTATTGATAAGAGCTATTGATAAGAGCTAGGTAAATTAGTAATCCGTTTGGAGAAGGGAACCTGTTTAAAGGTCTTACTCACATCGGCTACCGAGAGCGAGATCACACAGTCTAGTGCTCTCATGCATCGTTCAGTGTTGCTTGCCTCCAAGTGAGCATAGAAGGCATTTAGTTTGTCTGGTAGGCTCGCCTTACTGGTCAGCTCGTAGCTGGGTTTCCCTTTATAATCCGGGATAGTTTGCACATCCGACGAGCGTCAGAGCTTGAGTAGTAGGATTCGATCTTAGTCGTGTATTGACGCTTTGCCAGTTTGATGGCTCATCGGAGGTCGTAGTGGGATTTCTTATAAGCATCCGGATTAGTGTCCCACTCCTTAAAAGATGTCTCCTACGCTCTTACTGTAGATGTCCCCTACGCTCTTACTGTAGATGTCCCCTATGCTCTTACTGTAGATGTCCCCTACGTTCTTACTGTAGATGTCCCCTATTCTCTTACTGTAGATGTCCCCTATGCTCTTACTGTAGATGTCCCCTATGCTCTTACTGTAGATGTCCCCTATGCTCTTATTGTAGATGTCCCCTATGCTCTTACTGTAGATGTCCCCTATGCTCTTACTGTAGATGTCCCCTATGCTCTTACTGTAGATGTCCCCTACGCTCTTACTGTAACTGTAGATGTCCCCTACGCTCTTACTGTAGATGTCCCCTATGCTCTTACTGTAGATGTCCCCTATGCTCTTACTGTAGATGTCCCCTATGCTCTTACTGTAGATGTCCCCTATGCTCTTATTGTAGATGTCCCCTATTCTCTTACTGTAGATGTCCCCTATTCTCTTACTGTAGATGTCCCCTACGCTCTTACTGTAGATGTCCCCTATGCTCTTACTGTAGATGTCCCCTATGCTCTTACTGTAGATGTCCCCTATGCTCTTACTGTAGATGTCCCCTACGCTCTTACTGTAACTGTAGATGTCCCCTACGCTCTTACTGTAGATGTCCCCTATGCTCTTACTGTAGATGTCCCCTATGCTCTTACTGTAGATGTCCCCTATGCTCTTACTGTAGATGTCCCCTATGCTCTTATTGTAGATGTCCCCTATTCTCTTACTGTAGATGTCCCCTATTCTCTTACTGTAGATGTCCCCTACGCTCTTACTGTAGATGTCCCCTACGCTCTTACTGTAGATGTCCCCTATGCTCTTACTGTAGATGTCCCCTATGCTCTTACTGTAGATGTCCCCTACGCTCTTACTGTAGATGTCCCCTATGCTCTTACTGTAGATGTCCCCTATTCTCTTACTGTAGATGTCCCCTATTCTCTTACTGTAGATGTCTACTACGCCTAGTCCTCCTGGGCTGTAAATAGTACATTCAGTCTGTCAAGACTGAGGATCATAAAGACATTGCTCAGAAAGTTCTGAGTTTTTCCTTGCCAGGGAAAGCCCTAGCTAGTCCCCAGCTCTGAATAAGGCCATTAACTAACCAATGACCTTTATTTCCTGTTCAACATAAAGAAACGTCCTCTCACTGTCAACTGCGTTTATTTTCAGAAAGCTTAATATGTGTAAATATTTTTATGAACATAACAAGATTCAACAACTGAGACATAAACTGAACAAGTTCCACAGACATGTGACTAACAGAAATGGAATAATGTGTCCCTGAACAAAGGGGGGGTCAAAATCAAAAGTAACAGTCAGTATCTGGTGTGGCCACCAGCTGCATTAAGTACTGCAGTGCATCTCCTCCTCATGGACTGCACATGATTTGCCAGTTCTTGCTGTGAGATGTTACCCCACTCTTCCACCAAGGCACCTGCAAGTTCCCTGACATTTCTGGGGGGAATGGCCCTAGCCCTCACCCTCCGATCCAACAGGTCCCAGACGTGCTCAATGGTATTGAGATCCGGACTCTTCGCTGGCCATGGCAGAACACTGACATTCCTGTCTTGCAGGAAATAATGCATAGAACGAGCAGTATGGCTGGTGGCATTGTCATGCTGGAGGGTCATGTCAGGATGAGCCTGCAGGAAGGGTACCACATGACGGAGGAGGATGTCTTCCCTGTAACGCACAGCGTTGAGATTGCCTGCAATGACAACAAGCACAGTCAGATGATGCTGTGACACACCGTCCCAGACCCTGATGGACCCTCCACCTCCAAATCGATCCCTCTCC